GCCTAAACAGTTGACTGGAATTTTGTCAATATTGTGCTATCATGAATACTTGCAAGAAGAAAAGAAAATTTATGATACATGATAAAAAATATTGTCTAAAGTAAATATATGTTCCATCGGTATTATAATTAATAAAATACACCGTTTTGATAAATGGAAAATATAACAATGATTAAGTTATGAACGTATTAACACATATTTTACTGATTGTACAGAGCTTTCGATTTAATATAAGAAAATAATCAAATTCTTGATTCCTATTCAATTTCAATTATAAAGGAAGAATTATATATGTGTGTGTACATAATTAATAAAATTGCATCTTTTTTTTTGTTATTTCGATAAACTACTCGGTGTCAATTAGTTTAAATATAATTAAAGCATTGGCATAACATTTTATTTTAAATGAAAAAACATAATTTCGAACTTTTGCTTCGAACTTAATGCTTTTCATATAATACACGTAAATATAATGAAAATTAAAAATATAATACTATACACAAGAAAGACATTTAATATTGACATTCTTAATATTGTCCTATATTGTGAAAAAATTAATATTCAAAATTTATAGCGTTATTTGCTTTATTATTTTAGTGAAAGAAGACGAGCGTTTATTTAAAAAATTTTTTATTTTAAATTTGTGAAGCCTAGCCGTAATCGGAATACAATTTGTTGGTGTCTCGGAGCATTAGTATTGTTCAAGCGCACGTTTTGTCACCTTCGATGCCAAATAGATGGCGAATCGAAAGACCGTTAATGTAATAAGACAAAAGGATTAAGAGTTTTCGCGGATATTCTTAGTTCGCCGCTTATCACTATTCATTGTCTAATTCAAGCAGTGGCATTACGTCGTATAGGGCAAAATTGTAACGAGAGGTGCGCGGGGACGAGTAAAAGATGAAATGAGAGGGAAAGCGTGGGAGCGAGAGTGAGGTCCGAGAGCAAGTGATAGGTTGTGGCGAGTGGTATTGGGTAACGGTGATGCGATCGCGGGACGAGGCGAAAGTGTCATCTAAAAGTGAAACGCTTTTACCAATATCGCGCCGAAAGTTGAGTCGCGCGCGTCCCGACACGATTAGCTTAGTTTCCAAGTTCATTGCCGAGCGATTGTGAGGCGGTATCAAGACGATGACGCAGTGCGCATCAGGTGGTCACGTAGTAGCCCCTTCCGGGGCGACTCTCCGCGACCTCTGCTCGGGCTCGGTCGTATCGGGGTCAGGGCGAAGCGCGGGTCGTGAGGCGATGGCGGAAAATCGATCGAATCAGCAGCATCCGCCCTGGTCGCGAAGACAGGACCTCGGACTGGACGAGTCCTTGGCGCTATTGTTCGAATCGAGGCCGCTCTCACCTCCCATTGTCTCGTCATCCCCTGCGCGTATTATTAGCTCCCGGGCGCCCCTTTCGCCCATCGCTCCACACCCCATCTCCCCCCCCCCCCTCCCCCCGGCCCCCAGCCAACCAATAGATGCGACGGCGCGTGTGCAGCGACAGTTAATGAATGAATTAGAGCACAAGGCCATTTCCCAGAGCGCGCCTCGACGACCCACGCGGGCCTGAATGAAGAGAGTCGGCCGATAGTGCCATTCATAATAAAGCAAATCTATAACTCTCGCGACGTGCGCGCATTCGTGTAAACATGCCTGGGGACATGCGACTCGCTATCGCTTTATTAATCACCGAGTCTTTATTTTGCTCATCCCGTACGGGAGATTTATAGGGACGGGGAGTCGCTTTCTTTTACGCGAGCATCAAGCGAGTTGGTAAAAGCTGAATTCACGTGGGCTATTGTTGTGGCTTTGGCACGAGCGTTATGCCGCGTTAAGTGCAAAATGGCACGCAGCTTTTTGAAATTAGCGCCTCGTTTGTGTCGAACCCGTGGCTATTAATGCGGAGTCAAGTGTCCGGTCAATCCGCTGATTGGCGATGGTACCGCTTGTTATCATTTAAATAATGAAATCACGACCATTTTCTTCAAGGCCCGACTTGTTAAAACCTTCGTTTTCAAAATGAGCACTACATTGTAAAAATTTATCAAGTAATAATAATATAATTTTATGAATGCGAATTTTCAAAGGCGAGTTTTACGCGCTCGCATTGACGTCATTCGGATATTTTCACAGCCATATATTTGTGACAAAAGGAGGAGAAGGAGGGGGAGGAAGAGGAGAAGAAGGAGGAGGAGAAACAGAATGAGGAGAGAGAGAGAGAGAGAGAGAGAGAGAGAGAGAGATAGACTAACCAGGTCTTTTACAGAAAGCCTTTGTAAGCTTAATAATTACGAGCGAGGAGAATTTGCCAAGAGGAGAGAGAATGTATGTCTGCTTAAGCCCTCGAGCAAGTAACTTACTTCGTTAGAACTATTTGTGAAATATTTTCTACATCGAGCTGGCTATTATTATTGCTCTGTGCAGAACTATCAATCGCTACTATATCAGTGCCTAAATAAATAAAACATACTATCAATTGTTTTCGTTATTAATGCACTGTTCTTACCCAAAGCTGTTCATCTTGTTAAAGTCTCGGAAATTGAGAATCGAACTTTCGAAATACAGAAATGGTATTTTATGAAATACGAATAATGAATGTGCAAAATCCTTATACAAGGCCAAGAATGCTCAAAATGAGAGTATTGAGAGAAGGAGTGATCCGAGTAAACGTAAATGGATATATATTATTTATGCTTGACTTGAAGAATTCAATGCATTCTCCATTGAATCCGATCGAAGGGGAAGAAGGGATGGCGGCGAGAGCCGCTTTTTCGATTTTGCCGTCCTTTACCTTGGCGGCAGCTGCATTTTAAGCGCGAGTGCTCTTATTGCAAATCCGATCGCACCCCACACAGAAAGGATCTGCAAGAAGCAAGCTGCCCCTCTTTTTTTCTCATTTTGTATTTTTCTTTTCTCTCTCTGTAGAAACCAGAGAACACGGGAGATGGAAAAAAACAAATAGCTCAAAGTTATTTATGCCGCGTCGTATTTACTTTTCCGTCCCATCATCCACCTCTTTGTTAAACGGGCTATCAACAAAAATCTTGGTGATAGATTTTTATTCGCATTATGAATGGGGCCGGACTACTGGCGAATATTTTATAATGAAAAATGAAAAAAGCTATCGGACGGGCCAATGATTTAATGCCGATTGCTAATCGACAAGGGAGAATAATCCATGAGATTCGACTGTTTTTTGCAATAAACGCTTAAGTAATTGTTGATTTATTTCGAGTCATTGTCATTAAGGCAATTTGATGAAATATAAAAAAAAAAGACGATGTATTATTATGAACGATCGTAAATTGTTGAGACTACTTTGACAAATCATTCCCTTCGCTCCACTCGTGTACTATTAGAACAATGATGTAGAAGCGCGACGAGCGATTTACGTAGCTTTTTAAGCTTTAACGCCGGTATTAATGCGCGAAGATTGGCGCTCGTAATGACCCGATGATTTTCTTCTTTGCGATAGCGCTGTAGCCCTCGTCAATTAACGCAACTAACCAAGGCCATAGTTAAAAGCTTGGATCTTTATGCTTTATTTGCAAATCAAATGAATCACATCAGTCGCTCCGAAATTTTATCGCCTCTTGCACATCTTCATCCATTAGTGGCTGAAATCTTCGAAACGAACGCGTTTCAACAAAAAGCACGCCAACTGAGCCATTAATAATTTACAATTTGATGTTGGTTCTATTAATTGCAGTATATGATCAGATTTATAAAATCTTTGTATAGATTAGTTTTATTTTCAGCGGGGGCAGGAATTTAATGACAATAGGATAGAGATTTGAGTGGAAGTTGGATTCAACGGTCCGAGAGCATTGGGCATGTAAGCTCGGTGATACATCTGTAGTGGCACCCTTTCGGGAGGTTTTGAATTACCTCACGTGGGCCGAAGCCACGCGAAGCTAAGACGAGAAACAGAAGCAGAAGAAGCGGCGACTGTTCGAGCTCCGCTTCCGTTTCTTCCTCCAAGCATATATTTACATAGAGAGGTGTGCGTGCGTGCGTGCGTGCGTACTGCATTTATAAGTTAGCACTGAATCGAGGACGTGGGAGTGCGACGAAGAAAGAGAGAAGGGTGAGGGAGGGCACGGCACAAAAGGCCAAATAAAATAAGAACGAGTAGTCAGACGAAGATGGTAGATATAACGAGTGTAAGAAAATAAATCGGTTAACAGAGTGCGAGCATAACGGAGAGAAAGCAGAGGAGCAGAGGGCGGAAGATATGGCGCTTACTCGGAAAGTTACTCAGCTCGTGGAAAAACTAACAATGAAATGTACCGCACATTTCCACACGATCTGGAGAAATTGCCCGATGCGCTCGCCTCGTCCTTTTCTTCTTTCTGTCGGACAAAAGCTTGACAAGAAAAGAATGAATGTGTTTGCGCGCACGTTTCTCTGCTTGAGTGAATAACAGAGTGAGTAACAGAGTGAGTGAGAGAGAGAGAGAGAGAGAGAGAGAGAAGGAACGGCGACGTCGGAAATTATTCGGAGGGTTTTGCGGGGTGCCGATTTCTCGCTCGTACACGTGTAAAAGTGCGAATCGGCCTATTGGCGGATGGGCATTTTGCAACCGAGGGGGTGAGTAGGTGGATGGTGGTCGATGAGTGGGACAAAGCGATAGCGGGGGACGAGGCGAATGCACGCGAAAGAGGGAGATAGTCAGAGTCAGGGTCGCGCTCACCTCCCCAGAGGGCGGAACAGCTGAGCGAGAGGGCACGACGCGCCGACGGCAACGATGACACGCGCGCAGCCGCGCGACGGCGTTCATACGCACGTACACCGAAAGAAGGAGCGAGCGTCGCTTCCCCTCCCGGAGGAGCGAAGGAGAGGAGGCTCTTCTCCGTTCCGTCTCTCTATCTCTTTCTCTCTCTCTCTCTCTCTCTCTCTCTCGCGCGCGCGCTCTTTCTCTCAGAGTCCGGTTGCCCCCGCCAGAAGCAGGGCTCTGCTGCGCCTCGCTCTCCGCGCGTCCCGGCCGCAGTCGTTGTTAGTTGGTGCGTGCGTCGCGGCGGCCCTGGTCGAAGGTGGTAGAAGCGGCAGTAGTAGCTCCTCTCGGTCGTAGCGAAAGGAGGACGCGGGGGCGCCCTGAAGGAGCGCGGGGGAACGAAGCCCGGAGGGATACCCGGTTGCCTGGCGACCGGCCAGTTCGATCCCAGCCAGCCGGCGAGACGCGGCTTCCGCGAACTTTGCGCTACGAGAAGTAGCAGCAGCAGTAACCACAGGAGGCGAAAGAAAAGAAGTACGTAAGCTCGATTTTCGGTGAGCAGCAGGTCGTCGCGAGATTTCGTCCGCCATTTGTCGAGGCGGCCACGTAACTGGTGCTGGGGCCTCCGGGGTGACGCGCCGGGACCATGGGGCCCGATGACGGCGGCGCTCGCGTAATCGCGTGCGCCTGATTGCTCTACCGTGCCTCGCCATGTTCCAGTGCATAATCCAGCAGAGAAACGGGTGGATACACCCGACCAGCGCCGACACTAAGGACGTTTTCCCAGGTAATTAGCGACCGCAAGCCTTACGGGTGGAAGCTGTGTAGATTGGGAGGCGCGCGGGGCGCGACGGAGAGGGAGCGAGGCGGCGCCCCATCATCCGGAGGGGCTTCCTTTCGTCCCTGTCCTTCTTGCGTCGCCGTCTCCTTCGGCTTTGTCGGATCGCGAACAATCGAACAATGTAGCCGGGCACGCGCGCGACGGTCCCGTAATATTGTTACGCTCGCGCTATTAATCACACGGGATTCCCTCGAAGGAGGCGAGAGAAGAGAGTAGCGCGCATGTGGACCGGTTGCTTTCCCCTCCATCCTGTCGAAGAAGCCACGGCACGGCAGGACAAGGTAGGGCGGGGACTGGGGACGGACGGGTCGAGCATCAGCCTCTCTTTCTCTCTTTTCCTGTTTCTCCGGGCTCGCGTCAGGCACAACAATGACGGCGAGATCGGGATCGGCCGAACGCATTGTGATGGTACGATACTGCCCCCATGATTTCGCCGGGAGGTTGCCGACGACGATAACGAGATATAATTATTTTAACGGCCGCCGGCTCTCTCCTCTTTCGTCTCTCCTCACCCTCCCGTTCTTCGGCTCGTCAGTCGCTCGTCGCTCGTCGACAGTCCGGTGACGATTACCGAATTGCGTTCATTCTTGAGGCGAGAGGGGGGGGGGGGTCCCGTCCTCCGTCCTCCGTCCTCCTTCGCGGCAAGCCAATTTGGGAACGACGTTGGGACGCTTCACCGCGAGAAATCGCAAATCTCGCACCAGTCTTATTTGTTTAAAAGTTCCAGGCAATAATAATCGTCGTTTTCTCCTAGCTCTCTGCCTGTCCGCACTCTCGTCCGAGACTCGGTATTGAGACAACGGCTATTGTGCGCCCCTTCGATTACGAAGGGGGAGAAAGCGGGCGGCCCCGTCAACGACAATTGAGTGATGTTTCCGCGGAAAATGTTCGATCTGCGGCGCGGATGATGACGAGGTGGCGGGCGGGGCACCAGCTGCATCGGAATTATCCTGCAACTATGCGCTAATTGGAACTTGGGAGATTGCTTTTCCTTGTCGCGCTGGACGCATTAGGTCCGATCGAGGCGCACGCGCGAGTTCATCCGAGTCTTGCTCGTCGCTTTTCCGCCACGTTACTTTATCCCCCTCCGTCGCAGCCGCCCGCTCAGTCGGCAGCGACGGACGACTATGACAATGGGGGCATTACGACGACGGCGATAATAAAATAACGCGGGGAAAAGCAACTAATCAACACAGACACCCGATCGTTCGCTCAAATTAATAACAGTATGAATGACGGCTCTGTAGCCACGCACTGTTACATAATCATTAATCGCAATGTAAATGCACGGGCAGCGGTTTCTCACGATTTTTCCTGGAAAAGCGCCAGTCAATTCGCTCTTAAGTTCTAATTAATACAGCAGCATTAAGGCGACGCGACTTCGACTCCAAGTCCGTCTGCGACTCCGACACGGATTCCGACACGGATTCCGACACTGACACTGGGGGGCCCTTCTTTAACGGACGGATAGAGATTGACTTCCGCTCTGGTAAACAAATCACTCGGCTTCAAAGCAGCGCGCGCGATAAGCGACATGAAAGCCTGTTTACAGAATCTTGCACCCCGCTACCTGATCTTCCGGCGAGAAAAAAGACTGCAGGCGCTTCGATCGCACGCGCGACTACATAAACAACAAAACAAGAAAAGAACACTGTCGGGACCTCGGTGATACGTACGGCTTGTCCGAGTCACGAGCCCCGGGATACGGAGAATTAAATATTTCTTTGATCTGACTTTTTCCTTCTAACTGATTCGACGATTGCCCTCGTCAAACCTACAACTCCCGACATTTCAATTTGAGTTTAATGTTATTTTTGGCATTACCGTATATTCTTCCCTGACCTTACTAATTATATGTACATTGTCCGCTGTCGATGTTGTATATTTATTTGTAATTATCTATGTATTGCCCAACGAAGAACGTATTAGATTTTTTTCCATATAAATTCGAGGTTTATATTTAGCTTAGTTAGACTACTTTCTTTCTTGCAAGTCACGACGCTTGCCTAATGCTGATATTCCATAAGCCGTATTAAAAAAATTTTGATTATATAAATATTTTTGTTTTCCGTAATATAGCCAATGTACTTGATAAGACAAAACTCATGATTTTTCAATTGTACCTGCAAGTGTACATTTGGAAGTTGTAAATACATTTAACTTCCGTTAATAATAAATGCTCGAGTGGAATAAATTAATAGCTCCGATGTAATTTGAACGAGCAAAATAAAGATTTTCAATAAATGGTAAATCTGAGATCGAAAAACCAGTTTATCACAATTATAATAAACTATAGCATATTTTATGGTGCAAATACCAATATTCTTTATCGTTGCTATAATTTTTTTATGTTTAAATTAGCCCACCCCATTCCGATACAAATTTGATTAAATGCAGCAATTTATAGATTCTTCCATTTTTCTTTCTTCTATGCTTGATTTTTCTTTAACATTCGATCGCTATCTTCATTCCATTATTAAAGTAATAAATATCCATATTTTTCTATAATTTTTTTACATTCAATTTATACGTGAAACTGATCTATAATGCTTACCGACAATTTTCAAATTAATACAATTAATAAATTAAATTACGTATGTTTATCGATGAAATTACTAAAATGCCATAAGTAAACATTTTTCGTTAGAGCGTTAAAATTTTAATATGTATTTTACGTAATGAGTAATATAATGCAAAGGTGTCATTTGAATAAATGGCATAACTTACGATAGAAAGACAATAAACACATGATCGAGTACGAACGTACATAGCGGCAACACATATTTTGAACACATATTAATTAATCCGACAAATGTATAAGATTCGTATGTTGTGATAACGTATTTCAAAGTTTTACGGTGTTTCATTACAATGGATCGATCATTGGCTTGCATAAAAAGTTTATCTACGAGATGCTATTGGCCAGAATCGTTTATCATTGGTGCGTGCAACCAGATTAAAAACTGCTGATGGACATTAATAATAGTGGCTGGGGCTCTGCTAATCGAGGATATTTTACGTAGGCGCACGCGGTGCACTGTAAAACTGTTTCCTATATGCTTACAAGCTGGTACAATGAAACTATTGTTAGGGAAGAGAGAGAGAGAGAGAGAGAGAGAGAGAGAGAGAGAGAGAGAGAGAAAGAGAGAGAGAAAGAGAGAGAGAGAGAAAGAGGACGCGCGCACGGATCTGGCTAATCATTACTTAAAAAGTAATGGCCTCGTTGTAACCGTCTGCTTGTTGGATGCTAAGGCCCGCGCGGATTCTAACCATTCGCGGATTTTGCAATTAGCGAGTGTTTTAAGCGATAAAACGCTAGTAAGCAAAGTAAGTACTCAATGGAAGCGTGCAATGAACGTTGACGCACTAACTTCAATTCGCAAGCAGGAAGGAAGTAGATAGTCGCAGCGCGGCGCATGCATATCAATTCGCGTTCCTTCCCCCCCCCCCCCCGCTTTGTCCTCTCGGCGCTCCACCGAGCTCAGGGACGTATTTATTTATGCGCGCCGTCGGCCGCAATTACGCGGCTTACATCGGCGTCGCGACGCACCCGACTATTGAACCATGCAATTGACGGCCGCGATGGCGTTCGTACCACGACGGCGTTCGTACCACGACGATTGCCTCGAGTTGCACACCAATCGAGATACAGTTAATAGAGATAGTTGAAGAATTGCGTATGTGTGCGTGCGCGCACGCGTATGTAAAGCGGCTACAATGGAGTCGTAGCCGAACACCTTCTCGGCGATTAATTCAATTTATACCGATTTCACTTCGGCTGGGAATTATTTTAATCACTCGATGGCGACTTCCTCATCATCGCTCGTGAAATCTGGCTTCCAAATACTGGCAACGAATCGCTTCTTACAATATCTAACTCTTCCCTTACATTCTCTTTCCTTTATTTATTGGATAATTGTATAGTTTTCGATTTTATCTTCGTAAGTTACATCGATGACTTTCAGTCGTTCTCCAGCGTCGAAAGTTCTGCTTGCTTTCCATTACCCATTTTTCTACAACAATCATTTATTCTCCATCGCTCTAAAGACTCAAATGCTTAAAAAAAATCGAGTATTAACATTTTTTAATTGTAAATTCAGCCTTTAAGTTTCTTTTGCAATCGTAGCCTTATCGACTTATAAAAGGCAAGTCCCAAAGGAGAAATAACGATGGCCTGCATATAGTTATTTTCGAAGAAATTGTTTTGCGAAGCAGAATGCTAAGAACAACGAACCGGACGAGCCGTCGAAACTTTGGCTGTTGGTTCATTGAAGATTCCTGACGCGAACCAAGGAGTCCTCCCCTCTCCTCGCATTATTAGGTAACAGCTGTTCGGCAATGTAAAATGCATAAAGCTGAACAGCTACTGATGCCAACGTACTCGTGACGCATCTGAGCATAACTAGTCGTTATATGATATTTACCCCCCGTCGTGCCCAACTCGCATATAGATATTCTAAACCGAAATCTTAGATAAAGGAAATGACGACACCCTATGATCGTAATCCTCGACGCTTTGAGCGTTACATCGGCCACTAGGCAACGAATCTTTGTAAACGCTACCCGACTACGTGCACTTGCATATGCATATAGGTATATGCGTTTACACTTATGTGCTTGATGCAATTGCTCCGATTCGAGCGATTGACGAGGCCGCGTACTTACCGCAGTACACGGTGAGACAAACGAGGCAGGCAATTTTGTGTAAATCGCAGTTTTCTACTATTGGAATTTTCATATACAGCGCGCTGATGATAATTTACAGTTCAAACATAATTAACTAAACTGATGGCGCGCGTGTCCTACATTTTCTTTTTTACGGAGATTAATGTAGAAAGTGGTAGAAGTTAGAATCTAAGGCTCGACGAAGTATCTGCAACATTACTTTGCATCGTAAAATAAAAGCCACCTTGATAAAGTATTGAATAATAAGCACCCATCGCTCG